ACTGATAACACATAAATATCCAGTGCATTTAATACTATCAAAGTAATTAGGTGTTGGTTTGCCAGGAATAAAGGTGAGGTTTAAAAATCCAAGATCACATGATTACCACTGAGTAAGACATTCTTGCTCATCCTGAGCACAGGCTAAAAGCAAGAGGTGACTGAGACAAGTCACCAGGCTGGAAGCCAAGCTTATTTCATGCACTCAATTTGCAATGAAAATTCTAATGAAGCCATCTCGTCGAGCTAAACCCAGTGCTACTCTGGCCAGAGGTCTCCAGCTCACTCTGAGGTAGGTCTGGAAGCATTAACTTGCTGAAGGGACACGCAGTGCATGGAGCACATGCTGCTATAGAGAGCGCTGCAGGAAATGGCAAGACTGCCATGAAAATCTGACAGTCCAGATGCAAGAAAAAATCCCTTGCCACCCTTGTAATTGCACTGAAGAAAGTGCTTATTAAACACAAGTACCTGCTCCACTCAGGCAGAGGAGCTCTTCTATGAGCCTGAAACACTGCATGTACCAAGCTTTTATTGTGTGTGAGAGAGCTGGTGTTAAATGGGGTCAGAACTACACTTGCTTAGGGGAGAAGAAAAGCTCACTTTGAAGCCAGGCTGGTTACCCTGTTTTTCTTCCTACACCACAGCTTTCAGATTGCAGCTAGAACTTGAAGGGAGTTGTTCCCACAAGCTCTCCAGCCCAATGTCTCCACCCGAGAGGCTTGAGTAAATAGCAGAAGCTCTGGATATGAATCAGATGGAAAAGATTCAGCCCTCTCTGCTAGGTCTGAGTTCAAAGGCATCCATGGCTGAACAACTAAATCGAGATCCCTATCTGCATGTGAGGGCAGAATGGAGCGTTCAGTAATAATGCACTGCTCACCCTTACACACTCATTTCTAGATGCAGTGTAGCAGGTTGTAAGTGGCACCCAGTTGAAGATGTCCATGTCCCCACTGTAGCACAGCCAAGAGAGGTGAGGAAGTCTGGTTTAGGGGACCTTCTTTTCTCCGTTTCCTTTCAGTTCTTCTTCAGCTGCATCCAGCTGAAACCTTGGTCCTGACCTCTTGGTGCTCAGCCCCATTGCCAGAGTAAGACCACAGATGCCACAGAACATATCACAGAGCAGAGAGTTCACCCTACAGCCCTTTGGTCCATGGCAGATCTCCTCCTCCTCTTTGTATGTGCTAAGACTCAGAGCAGCCTGTCATCACGAAGGGTGTGCATGATCCATTCCCCAAATGCACACATCAGACCTGGGTTTTGTTAAGTGACACTGTGCTCCAACACACAGGTCACATCTTGACCTGAGTCAAGCAAATTCAAATACATCCATGCTGCAACCACATCTCCCTGCACTGCACCTCCAGAAAGCAAGTCATGCCATGATGAGTTTATGGGTAAATGGACAATGAGGGATGCACAACGGGAGGGATGAGTTCACAGACAGCAAAGCAGCTCCATGTCAGCGCTTGCCTGGGAGCACTGGTGCCTCTGAAGACCTACTGCCAGTGACAAATCAGTTTAGCTGTGACATTTCTGCAGGTCCATGTTGCCTTGTATATGCAAGCACTGCCCTAACTCCTCACCAGCAAAGGTACCCCACTCGTTAGCTGATGCTGGAATACAGCCGGAGCCCACAGCTAGGGTGTGCCTGTACCTCCCTCTGTGAGGCTGCCTGGTTTATTATCTGCAGAACAGCACACCTGGGAACATGAGCCAAATAAGTATTAGATATAATCAGATACTTTCTGTCTTCAGGTGCCACCCATGTGCACACCTTCCCTACAAGCTGTGGAGTGAACCTGCTAACGATTCTATTAATAACGAGCAGTCTAAGTAGGTGAACTGGATGAACTTGTGTGAAAGCAAAACTCCAGAGGTAGATCAGTTGCTCTGTTCAAAGCAAACAGATAACTATCCCAGGCTGCAGGCAACTCTCCCCCTTTCCCACCTCCTCCTCTGGGACATCTCCAGGCATGTCCAGGGTGGTGCAGCCTGGCAAACAGATATTTAATCAGCGATTTATACAGTAAAAAAGAAATCACAAAGCCACCAATGACCCTGGGAATTGCTGGGTGCCAGAACATCCTCTGAGGACTTCCCTTTGTACTCATCTCCACGGTACGTGACACTGTTAATCCACAACAGTAGAAGCATGTGTTCCTCAGGGGGCTGTGTCCCCCCTGCTCCTCACCTGATCTACCTGCAGGTGCCCAGCAGCTGACTGTGATATCACATGGAGGGGTCTGGCTTCAACTGAGAATCCAGCAGCAGGGCTGGTGAGCAATGCCTGAGACACACAGAGCCTACGTGCAGGCACAGCTAGCCATGGACCACAGGAGAAGGATACTGCATCATGTGAGGAGTGTCCACCATTCCCTTTCACCTCTGATACAAAGCCTGAGTTTCATGTCCATACAGTGAAGAACAGGGACAGGCTCTGGAATGCAGGTTGTTAGCGGGTGACTGCGGCATTTCCCGGCAGCTCCAGTTGGGATCAAACCATGCACAACCCCATGCAAGCTGCAGTCAGAGTAATGGCAAGTGAGAGGCTCTCAGATGTTTCTGTCCCTTGAAAAGGATTAAAATCTGCTGCCTTGGGGGTTATGACTGTCCAGAGGCCACAGGCTCAGCATTAGTATGAGCCTGGCATTGCCAGAGGGAGATGGCTTCAGGATCACAAGGACCAAGGAAGAAGTCTCCTTAGCAAGATTTCAGGTAGCTTCAGATACTGATAAGCTTCTGGGATGCATATACTTCACCTGCCTCTCCTGCCCTCCTCAGACCCAAGGACAGCACTCAAAAGCACAGGCATGAGTGCCTGCAGAAAAGGTGGCATAACATCTCCTACCACAAGGAACGCTTATGATGAGGTACCTGATCTGAATTCACTTGCACAAAGACTTTGCAAACAGCCCAAAAAGCCTCTTATGCAGGAACATACTGAAGGGTTTGAAAACTAGTAGAAACAATAGGGTTTTTTTTTGTCCTCTGGTATCTAGAGGGCCTTTTTATGCAGCTTTTTGCTTGGCTGCACAAATCCAACACAAAATTAAAAGTTCTATAACATCCTATAACTTTACTGAAAGGACCAGCTCATTGACAGGAACTGGTCAAACATCATCCTCTGAACATGTCACAACACGTTTCAGAGCCTGCTGACATACTTACTCCTCAGTCAACATAAACAAGAATTCCCATTCCTCTTCCCTCTCATCTAGGGCAGATTAAGGTCTCCTTACAGTTCCTTTCTGAAGTCCTCTTGAAATGCAGCTGCTACAGCAGGGTCTCTCACTGAGATTCTTATGTCAAGCACGTTAAAAAGGACAAATCTTATATATGGTGTATATAATTTAATAACAGCTCTATTAATGTCAGTGAGAGTAACTCCTTCAGAAATAGAAGAATATTTTTCTCTCCAAGCAGGAGAATACCTGCTGCAATACTGGATGCTGAGGCCAGGGCATTGAAACGGAAAGGATAAATGATGCATCATCAGAGATACTGTTCTACTGAAAGGTGTTTCCAGTCTCCAAATGGGGCTTTGTTTCAAAATTCCAGATTCACCTGGTAACAGATTATGTTGTTTAAAGACAAATATTGCACCTTCTGCAAACTCTGAAGGGAAAGGAAGGCTGGACAGGCAGAGCACTACTGGGTCCTGCTCTGCCTCTGTGCCAGACACAGATTAAGTACCACACATTTATATACTGTTGAGTGCATTAGCAAAGGAAAGCAGGAGAAACCAGCACAAAGCCATGTAAAGGGCTCCCTTAATACTGCAGTAACACAGACTGTAACTCAATTTCTCCCTTGGTATGCAAACCTCCTCCTTCTTACTTTCCCAGTCTCCTACCCTGAACTAACAGCAGTTTTAGCTGGGGAGATGTTTGTGTTGCTGCAGTGAAGATGCTGAGCTCCTTGGTTCTCGCATACCCCTCTTACAGTACAATTGGCAATAACACTCACAGGGCTTTTTCCATCTATCTCAAGCTCTTCATAATAGCAGCCCTGCTCAACACAGGATTTAACATTCCCCTCTACATTAGGTAAAGGTAGCTCCTGGCTCCATTAGCAGTGTTTTTCCCATCTCACCATTACACCACAACTTTGGCTTCTCAAGCCAAAGGCCATGTGGTGATGTGGTGCTGTCCTGTGGCCCACTGATCACTCACACTATTCCAAAAAGTGTCCAGGAAAAGTATTTTTAGTGTGTTTGTGGAAGGCATGCCTGATTCTTCCTTTGCATGAGGATCTGTATTCACTGATGGCATCTTTTATACACACATCATGTATTCCACCTAAAGGTGCTGTGTGCTCTGAAAGAGCCAAATACATTAGCATTCCTCAACCATAACTTTTGAAGTCAGCATTTGACTATTTTTGCATTTCTTGCCGGTTGTAGTTAGACAACTCCTAATTCTATGGGGAAAGCAAAGACTATAAAATGCCAGAGCTCCACTCTGCTGAAATAACATTAGCGAAATATCAAGTCCTTTATGATGTCATGAGGGATTCCTTAATGTGACTATAGCCTCCTAATGACATCATAAAAAACAACTGCAACATCAGAAAACAGCCAAGGGTCATCAATCAGCCCATCCTCTCTCCTACTCACCAGGGGCAGCAGCCCAACTTGCTCCTATCTGCTTTTTATGAGCACTGCTGTCCGCTGAATAGCACACAGAGAAGAGACTAATAATCATACAAATATGAGGGAGAGCGGTCAATCATCACCTGAAATGTTCAGCACACCTGAGGGAAATCTGGGTGCTGTAGCCTGAAGAGTCTGCAAGCTTAGCATGTAGAAGAGACAACGTGACTCCCTTAGAGGTGACCTGGTGCTCTCTGGGCAGCAGGCAACACCAGTTAGCAACTCAGGCATTCTACAACGTGGGGAGAACGGGACTGAAAAATGAACCCTTTGCTTGCTCTCTTTGTGCTCTAGCTGCAAAGCAAGCTTTTTCCATGTTGTCCATATATCCACCTGCACCCGTATTACAGAGACCATGCTGAAAGAAGGCTTTTCATTCTCAAAGTGAAATGGGTGACAGTCCCAACGAGATGCAGGGACTACCAAATCCTCTGGCAAGAATGGAAACAGCCTCCTCCCCATGTGAAAGTGCAATGCCTCACAGTTAAAGCCTCATTATGCTCTCTGAGGAATACTTTGAAGTTTTCCAGGCATGGAGATGTCTCAAGGAGTTTCCCAGACTCATAAGAAAAACAACCCAGTGACAGATACTGTGGTCTCTAGAGGTTTCACAATCACTCTTGGAAGGTGTTTAAAACGGGGCTTCTGCCAGTGCTGACCAAAGAAAAAGGTTTTCTTTGCCAGCTAAGAAGGGAAAGGATCTGGTTCCTTACCTTGTCCCTCATCATTTGTGCAGTGTGTTCCTGAAGGGGCAGGCTGCACTCAGGGTGCTTCACAGTGCAAGCAGGATTCCCTCCAGGTTCTCTCTCTTTTGTTCCAAGCAGCAGCTGAACGGTGCTCCCAGACACTTGCTTAGTTCAGGGCCACCAGAGCCCAAGCAGATCATTTACAAGTCAGTGTGAAGTACGGAGCCAAGGAGGAGGCAGCGCTGCTGGCAGCCTGGAGAAACAAGACATTCAGTACTTTAATCTCAGTGTAACTCTGCCACTTCCAGATTATATAATCCCACTCTCAGGAGAGGGTGACTTGAGCAGCCTGTCACACTCAGTACACACGTTTCCCCTGTATGTTAATTGTGGTAGAAAGCTGTTGGGCAAATGAGCCCGTTGCACCAAAACGTTATTCTTTTTAGCAGGTCTGCTCCTTTCCTGGATCTCCAGTTCCCAAGCCCTGCTCTTTCAGACTGCACATTTCAGTTTCAGGCAAAGGAATGTGTTCACTGAACTGATCAATTTTGTTTTATCATGTTGACTTTTGCTTATATTTTAAGGCATGTTGCGCCTCAGAAGGAAATTCTTTTAAGCAGGTTTACTTCCACAGCAAGATTCTAATGGAAGGGTTTGAAGCTGTATGTAGAGAAGGACTAACAAAAGAAGGATTTTCTTAACAGATATTAGCATCACTAAATCCCGCAGCATACTGCCTGATGTATACCTCACTCTAATACTATCCATTCAGTAAGTTTCATCACTTACTTCAGGCAGAAAGCACCACTGTAAGCACTGACCATATTTAATGTTACTATTTCTTATGTAATAAAATTCCCTTAGCTGCATGTTAGTCTTAAATAAAATCTGGGGTTTTGATCATAGATTCCTGATTCCGTGAAAAGAGGAGTATATATTAAATATAGGGAGGGAATGCTGGTGTCATAGTGCTTCTAAATTCATATATTTTAGTTACTTTAGACAAGAGAAGGAGCCTGAGATGAAGGAGAAACCTACACAAATCACAATACCCGCAGTCTTCTGACAATCATTTGAGTCTGCATCTTTCTTTTGTAAAGGTAGGAGCATCAATGGTGGAAATAGGGAGTAGATTAAAGATGGACTGGTTCTAAGGAGGCCATCAGCCTCTCTTCCTTCAGAAAGGCAGAGAATATGAGAATATTATCTTTCCACATACAAACCTAACCACTAATTACAATTCAAGTCATATATTTCCAAGCCAAGCACCATTCTGGGGTAGCTGATGGCAGTTTGCAAGGGGAAAAGGAAGCTCCTCTAACAGCCTCTGATTTTTGAAAAGACAAACCTCATCTTTGAGAGCCTGAATTTGCCCATTCAAAATCATGCCCAAATTTCTAAATAAAGAAAAAAATGTGGCCAAATGCATGTTCCTGGGATTCTTCATGGGGTCAGAGGTGCATGGATGTGCACTGTGCATCCAGCCATAGGATATTACATGGCATTCTTACCTGTAATAGATGCCAAAGCATTCTCCATCCAAATTCACCAAAGTTTTGTTCCATTTGTTGCCCCAGCAAAATTCTCCCAGTCCTGGTGTTGGTAAACTTCTGCATCCAAGTCATTTCACTTGCTCCTCGGGATCTCAGTCACACTTGTGCAATGCTGTCAACCATATCCAGGAGGCATAGAAGTGCTTGAGGTATTCCTGCAATTAGAATTTACAGGGGAAATAATCTCCTGATGATGCATAAAATCTCCAGTATAATTCAGTCTCCCAGAGAACAGCCAGGAAGATCATTCTGACACCAATGACCACTCCAGTAATGTCAGCAGCCCTGGCACTCAAGGAGAAGATGAGCTAAGTAAAGCCAAGCCAAATTCAGGTAATTACTTTTCAGAGCAGAAACACATTTCCAAAAGCATATGCAAGCAGTTTTAGTTGCTCCTTTTGACCATTCTGATGTATTATCAATGTATGTTTGCACTTCATGTCAAAGTCAGGATAAGCTGGATATAAAGAACCAACCCAAAGCAATCTCCTTTCACAAGCAACCTGCAGGAAAATGTTTCCTTAAAGTGCCTCTAAACGAACCACCTGGAGAAAATAAAGAACATGATGATCTGCAAAAGCTGTGTGCTTGCTAGCCATATACTGCTTGAGCACAGTGTTCATAAAAGGGAAGCATAAAATAGCCCAAATGGCTGTTGGGGGTGCTGGAGCCAACTTAGAGGGAATAAAAATGGCCTAAATTTGCAGGTGAGGAAAACAGAGCCTTAGGAAGGTGTATGAGCTTAGAAATGCAGCAAGGCCTCTTAGGAGGGCAGTTCTGTGGAGATGACCTCTGTGATATCAGCCAAAGCAGGAAATGAACTAAGACTGTCAAGTGAGTTGCTCTGTAGATGATCTTATCTTAGCCAGAAGTCTTCCTTTTACACAAAACTTGACAGAGAAGATGGCTAATCCCACTGACAGACCATGAGAAAGACTGGGAGCTTGTTATCCATGCTGAGCACTCTCCATCTCGAGCTACAGAACTTCATCTAAGCTCATCTCACAACTCTAAGGATGGTCTTTGCATCAAAATCACCTGTCACTTATGCTCCCCTGGCATCTTGCAGTATAACCTTAAGGAACCTGGTCAAACTTCACAGTTGGTCCAGCTTTGAGAGGGAGTCAAACCCAATGCATCTCTAAGTCCCTTAGAAGTGGAATAAACCTGTATTTCCATGATTCCAAGCTGGCTGAACAGAGATACTCCAGAAGGGCTGGAGCAATCTGTGATGCTAGGATGCTCCTTGCTCAAGGGGCAGCTTCCTCATGAACCAAGCTAGTTACCAATTCATATCCAAAGGACATTTGCTCAATCTGCTTACCAGAGCTCACAAGACCAAGAGGTATCTGGAAAAGCTAAAAGGACCCGAACAAGAGATAATGCATATCCAGAAGGGAAAACCACCGTGCTAAAATGTGGAAGAGTACTGAATATGAATTCCTGGTGAGATACACATTTTTATGTATAGGAATATGTCCCAAAATCTTCAGTACCCTTCAGAGGATGCTCCCAGAGCAGCATGTGAGCCTGAGGATCATTAAAAGTTTCTGCTGGCAATGGGGCATCTCCTGTTGAGGCACAACATCTGTAATTTGGTCTGTGACAGTAAGAGAGGCAGCAGCAAGTGCAACCCATGCTGCTGGGTGTCAGAAATACCCAGGTCCTGCAAGCCTCAACTATTCTTGACTTGTACCATCTTTTAGGATTTTTTTTAGCTGACTTCTCATTAGGTTAAGCTCTTATTTGTGCTCAGAATCCAAGAAGGAAAATCAAACAACAGAAACACAAGGGAAGTTCAGGTTAGATATAAGGAAGTTCTTCCCTGTGAGGGTGCTGAGGCGCTGGCACAGGGTGCCCAGAGAAGCTGTGGCTGCCCCATCCCTGGCAGTGTTCAAGGCCAGGTTGGACACAGGGGCTTGGAGCAAGCTGCTCCAGTGGAAGGGGTCCCTGCCCATGGCAGGGGTTGAGCTGGAGGAGCTTTAAGGGAAGCTCATCCAACTGTAGTGATCCTGAAAGTCTGTTCTGAGAGGGCAGGTTCCATGCTTTTGTAATGCCTGTTCATACATCCTAAGCCCTTAGCTCAGTTTCTACAGTAGGAGAAAAAATGGGCCATGTGAGTAGTTCAGGCTTCCTTTTTTATTAAATCAGATGCTCATGCGACTCTTTGACAGAACTGAATGATAGGATCAAGAGGTAACGCTCCCTACACCTCAATCTGGAATGCCTTATTCTTGGGAAAACTCCTTCCATTACAAAGAGCCTGCTCAGATGAGCTGTGTTTAGTTTCCAGCTGACACGACAATTCTCTGTACGCTGTTGAGTAAGTCACTTGATCGAGTAAGCCACTTGATCTCCAGGTGCCTCAGTTTCCCATTCCTTCTCAGTGAAGCTCTCACTCTGGGCAGCCACGGCACCCACTTGACTTCACCTCAAGGCATTATCATAAGAGAAAATAAATATTAATTACAATTAAGGGTGCTTGGACGTGCAGGGCAAACTGTGGCCTGCCTCTGGCTGTCATGAATATGAACTTTGAAACTACAGTTGTGTAAAACTCAAAACCACCACACACATTTATCAAAGGCACCATCAGGCACCAGCGACTCCGTCGATTTTCCAGACTCACTGAATCATAGAATGGTGAGGGCTGCAAAGGACCTTAAGATCATAACTACTGTCCCAGCCCTGCAAGGTGGTTCCTGGTCATGCACTTTGTTTTGTATGTTATAAAACTGGCAAACACTATGGTATGAGAACTCCGTCAACGTGTCAGTTTATGTCAAACAAACCCCTGTGAATTCATGCCAAATATAAAGTCAAATGTTTTAATGGAGATATTAATAACCTGTGAATACAAGTAAAAGCTAATGACATTTGTCTTTTACTGGTGCTAGTAATCAGTATTGTCTGTATGCAGATGGCAAAACCCTGGTAAGCCTTTGCTGGATTATTGGTGAATCTAGATCGGATATGGGCATCTTACTCAAAGGAGCACACAGAACTGTGGATACTTTGCCCTTTTCTCCCTATAAACATTTGTCAGTTCACTCACCAGCTGCTGTTTGGTGTATACACATGCCCAGGCTGATGTTAGCTGAGGCTGCAATATAGCTATGTTAAATAATTTTATCTGATTTGTTGGATGATGGTATTTCTAATGGAAAACAACATGGTAATTTCAGAATGTTACTGATTAGATGAAAATGATATTGCATCAAAGTTACTTCCTTAATTTATTCTGAAAAAAACAAGAAGGATTTCTCTATTAAGATGCTTAATTAAAATCTATCTCTCGCCATACAAAATCTATACTTCAGGTCCTGCATGTCATGTCTGAAAAGAACAAAGGCTGATTAGCATCTTTTACACTCTGCTTTGCTTTTTGTCACTTACACATTCATTACAGCAACTGCAGCCAGGTTGCGAAGGTCTGAGAGAAAGGGTGCTAGTACACGGACTGCCTGAGCACAGGCAGAACAACAAGAGAATGCAGCTGAGCTTTTTGGGTTTATAAAGAAAATGGGGGGAGTGGATGGAGTCCAGATGGGACTGGGGTGAGGTGTGATGGGGAACAGTTTGTACTTGGAGGGGATCTGTGGGAAACGCATCACATAAGTAAGGTCACAGGCACTGATGCTGAAATCAAACTGCTCCATCACTCTCCCAGCTTCACGGTTCTCTCCCAGATGTAGAAATAAAGCAGGGAAAAAGGCAACGTGAGCACCAGCAATATGGCACATACACACAGAGCATGTAAGTTTGCTTGCACAGACTCTCACCAACAGGCTCCTATGAATCACAGGTGAAGAAAAACTAAATTCGACCTCTTTCTCAGTGAAGCAGTGAATTACATGTTGCTGAATTGTAAAACCCCAGATTTCCCAGCCCTTAGAGCCTCTTTCCTTAACATGTTACCTGCAGGGAAGTCTTAGACCTCGGAATCCACATTAACGACACAGCAATGTAAATGTAATTTCATTTTTGTGTCTTAAAAAAGCAAAGTGCAAATAAAAAAGGAGATGTCTTCACACTGAAACAAAGGCAACACCAAGTTTATCTGGCTGTACAGTCCCTTACAGAGAATAATTTCTTTTAGCCACATGCCATCTAATTTTGCTGCACTACATGTTTTACACATACAGAGCTGAAGATCAGAACATCTATTGTCTGATAACTCATTGCTCAATTAATTGGTTTGTGTTTAGCAAAGTGGCTATTTCTCAGTAGGGACCAACCACACACCAGCCATGAACTTTAAAGTAAACCCAATTATTAGCTAACAGTAAAGCAACAATCTGTAAGGCACCTTAAAGAATGCAAATCATCATTGTAAGCTGCTGAATAGGAATGCACAAATAGAAGGATGTCAGCAGGTGAAGTTCCCTTGCACAGAGAAGAGAAATATGCACAAACGCAGCTCTCCCTCCACCTTCACAGCAGAACAGCCTATTGAAGAGACAGACCTCAGGTTTTTTTTCCCTCTCATCACTAAGAATGATACCCTGCTGGGTGTAATCAAGATCCATGAACTCAGGGCTTCAGGAGTGTGAACGCTGCCATCCCAGGACTGGCCTTGTTTAGCTCTAAGAGTTTCAAACCTATGCTTGGCATCCCACACTGAGGCCTTGCATGTCAGCCTGGGCTATCGATTCCCATTTCTAGCTCCATTTTTAGTTTATTAGCCTCATATCACTATACAGTAGTGAAGCATTCAGCTAAAATTAGGCCATTTATATCACATTTCAGTAAATATGGAGTGGATGACTTAAAGCTGTAAGGCCAAGGTGTTGCACTGACAAGCAGTAAGAAAAGTGCTCTCACACCTTACAGCTTTCATATCCCTCTACCCTTGCCTCACAGGCACCGTCACAAACTCAGCCTGTCTGATACAACTCCTCAGCATCTGTAAAACTTTCCTTTATTATAAGCAATCAAGCTGTAATTTTCACGTTATTTGACAATATTTTACCTACATTCTCTCAGAATTCAAGTTCCTTTCTTTATTTGCCACATGCACATCACTCTGATAATCCCTCTTCTATATATTGATGTTCTTTTACATATTTGTTGTTCATACATTATGTACATCAAAATGCCATCGAATGCCAGGGCAGGAGCAACAAGATAGCTATATGTACTTATTCTGTGTGAT